AGACCTGTCTGATTTCCAAATGAATGATAATGTTTTTATTAATGTGAAACGACATTATGTCATCATGAGAGCGTCTTTGTAATTACTCCTGAAACCATTTATATCAAATATTATGAGTGAGTATTATTCCTCCGGTGTGACCCAGTGACACTCATTAAAACAGCGTGGGTTGTTTCATTAAGGACTTCAGTTCCAGTGGCTGCTGTCGGCTGAGATGAGCACGACGTGTCACATTAGCATTATTAAATGATATCATGCTAACAGAGACAGCCCCACCGCTGCTGTTTGTCCACGCGCTGGGAAGTGTGTGTCCTCGGGAACACACACATCACACACACATTATCACACTCAGGCGTGCTGCAGTATTTATGTGTGTGTGTGTGTGTGTGTGTGTGTGTGTGTGTGTGTGTGTGTGTGTGTGTGTGTGTGTGTGTGTGTGTGTGTGTGTCTACAGCAGCTCTCTGTGGGCACAGTGTGTACACAACAGCTGGCAGAGACACACTCTTGATTTACTCTATTTATAGCCTCACACGCTGTTCTGGACAGGAAGTTATGAGCCGTAGAATACGCTTTAAAGATCGTTTTATATCTGTAGGTTTTTATCATTGTTTGCATCTCATTTTTTTGGACGTCACCATCGATCTTTGGATGTCCCGATCTTTTGAACATCATCCTGGTTTATGGACCTCTACATTTCGTTTTGTTTACAGTAACCAATTCGTTGTTTGCAGTGGCGGCCGGTGGTCTTTTTTTTTGGTGGGGCTCTTGACGTACCGTAAGTGACCTACCCGGGGGGTCCGGGGGGTTTCCCCCCGGAAATTGTTTTCGAGAAATGACCCCTTAAATGATGACTTCTGGTGATGTTAGAGGGGGGGGGGAAAGGAGAAATCGAGGCTTAAAAATATGAGAAGACTGATCAATACCTCCATAATCTTCAGTGTGGAAAATATTATTTATCAACCTGAACATCTACTACTTTACCAGGAATTTGTGTTCTCAGAACTGGTCTGTTTTTTTCTTTCTTAAAACTGTTCATGTTTTATGAACCAACACCTTCACCAAGTAGCTTTACAGTGAACTGCATGTGAGATATAAAATTAATAGCATCTTTTCAGTAGCATTAATTATAAATATTTAAGTGGTTCAATACAAGTCACTACAGCATTTCAAACTGAACTGTGAATAAATGCAATTTAAAAAAAATAACCACAGCACAAAATGTCATAAATTGTGTTTTTTCTTTGTTTCTCTGAGGATTATTTACAAACAGGCTTATTTACATATAGCAATAACTCAGAAATGAAAAAAGCTACATCGTCTAACACGAACAACCAGTTAGCATAATGATAATATATGTGTTATGTACAATGTAACTGGCAAGGCTAGAGCAAGAAAGAACATAAAGTTTGCAAAAGGTTTAAATAACTTCAAGTATCTGTCTTCAGATTACGTGGAGGTTTTAGTCCGATGGGAAGCAGATTTTAAGCGACACCGAAGATAAACCAAAAATGTGGTGGAGCTGCAAACCGTGTAGTGTTGCTGGGACAGAACAGGAGCTATAACCGTTGGAAAATACATCACAGACAATGCAACAAACGTGGAGACAGAACAATCACTTCTGTGATAAATGCCCACTTATTAATAAACTTCTAACAACCATGGGAAACCTCCTCTCTACATATAAAGTGATATCCAAGCATGGGAAACAAAAGACAGCATTTACCTGTTTGCATCCAGCTAGCCAAGCCTTTCTTGTGTACCAGCTACTTGTGAAGCCTCGTGTATAAATGTTGTCTTTTTCACGAGATTGCTGCGATATATTCAAATCGGGTTGGTCCGGTGCAAGGTCTTTAAGCAACAATTTATCTGCCAAACTTCTCCTTTCGAAAGGATTGGAGATTAGCTCTTGAACAGAATTAGCCGGGGACCGAGGTCCGGAGACTCCACCTGCACACGAAGCCATCCTCATCAACTACTGCGTCAACCGGATACGAGTCACTGTCCAAACTACTCACAGACTGCACTGGGCGCTGACATTGGCGCCTGGTGACCGTCATCTTTGACGACGCTGATTGGCTGAAATTATATTTTCGCGGCATAGTTTACACGTTACAGATAGCAACAGTCAGCTGCTAGTGGCTGATGCTGCACTGGTTGAAGGCTCCTCTCTTAGCGCCCAGACGAGAGAAGGTGCATGGGCAAGGCCAGGCAGGAAACATGTGACTTATCAGTAACTTTAGACATCGTAACACAATTTTAAACGAGATTTTATTGTAGATTATACATTTTACTGATACCAATTATATAATATTTACCTTGTTCATTAAAAATAAAAATAAAAACATATATTTTTTTTTAAACATATTTTTTTTTTTTAATTTTAATTTTAATTATTATTATTTTTATTTTTTTTCAATATGGGAAGAGGTGGGGCGGCGCCCCTAGCGCCCCTATGGACCGGCCGCCACTGGTTGTTTGTCTTTTGGCCATCTTGGTTTCCTCTTCATATCATCTCTGTGTTCGATGTCCCCATCTTGGTTTCCTCTTCATATCATCTCTGTGTTCGATGTCCCCATCTTGGTTTCCTCTTCATATCATCTCTGTGTTCGATGTCCCCGTCTTGGTTTCCTCTTCATATCATCTCTGTGTTCGATGTCCCCATCTTGGTTTCCTCTTCATATCATCTCTGTGTTCGATGTCCCCATCTTGGTTTCCTCTTCATATCATCTCTGTGTTCGATGTCCCCATCTTGGTTTCCTCTTCATATCATCTCTGTGTTCGATGTCCCCTTCTTGGTTTCCTCTTCATATCATCTCTGTGTTCGATGTCCCCTTCTTGGTTTTTAAACACTGCCACTGTTTGTTCTCTCCGATCTCTAGATGTCCCAATCTTTGCTTCTGGCCGTTACCATCTTCAGGGTTCGTACGGGTGCTGGAAATCCTCACAAAAAACGTGTAATAGCTCCGTTTGTCCACAGGGCAAAACATAGTATATTCACAAATAACCCTCTCAAGACGTGACGTGGATACAATATTTTGTAAAACAAAACATGGAGCTCAAATAATCTTGGTAATATCTATCAAACTGTGGATCCTACACATCCACTGGACGTAGACTCTGAAAGTACAATATACACTTCTCGCTAGAAATGTAATCAAAAAGCATTTTAACGCCAAACTATCCTACAATTTAGGATTTTCCACCAAAAATAAATCGGGTGTCCGCCATGTGTTTTTTTTTCTTGCGCTGGGAAAGTTTGCGATCACGTGACATGGACACTGGTCCTTAGAAATGAATATGAACACATATTGTATCTATGTCACGTCTTGAGAGGGTTATTTGTGAATATGCTACGTCTTGCCCTGTGGACCAACGTAGCTATTACACGTTGTTTTGTGAGACTGGGCTCGGAAAGCCTTGAAAATGCTTGAAATTTAATGTGGTGTTTTCAAGGTTTGAAAAGTGCTTGGATTTTGGATAAAGTGCTTGAAATTGTACTTGCTTTACTTTTATAATAAATTGCTGTCTGACTGAATAGTTCGCTTTTTTCGCTTAAAAAATAAAGAGAAAGAAGTCGGAGCGAGCTTAAAAAAGACAGCTCTACTCCTTTTATACATATTTTAATATTTGAATCAATATTTTTCTCAGTTACAGATTTTCCGTTTTCAGATTCAAAACAATTTTCTTTTCAGTTTCATATCATGTTTTTTTCAGGTTTCAACCGTTTTTGTCGCTTTCAGACTTTTGGCCCTGATGTGGCTTTGGGGGGGCGGGGCTTACCAAAGAGTAGTTTGGCATCCTGAGTGACAGCCCAAGCCCCCAGGAAGTGCTCCGGACTCTGAGGAAAATATTCGTTGTGGCCAAACTGCGGTACTACAATTTCCGTATCAGTCCGTGACGTCACTGGGCCCAGAAATCCTTTTTCCCATTGACTAACATGGAGAAAGAGACGTCTGTAAATCAGGGGATACTTTTTTTAACCAAATAAACTACTCTAAATTTGTATAGCCCTTATTGTTATTAAGATGTGCTAATAACGTTATTCTGAGAGTTATTTCCCTCTGCATTATGAATGTGCATCTGGCGGGGCTTAAGGGGCAACTGCGCATGCTCTATGGGTGCACATACGGGTACTCCTGCTCTGACAGCCAGGCATGCTGGGTAATCTGTGACGTTTCGCTCTCTCAAAAGTTGGGCCATTTTGTCCTCATGCGCCAATGAGCAGCTCTCATAGGGAAGAACGAGACCCCGCCTCCCACGCTGTGTCCAGTTCTTATTATACATCCATGTGACAGCCCTCCCTGTTGTTGCCTTCATGGATGTTAGGTAGCTCGAGAAATATAACTCATCACTTTCTATACACAATACTCCCGTGATTGGTGGGAAACCAAACTGATACCAGCGTCAAAGTTCTGTTAAGCGAGCTGTTGAGCATCAATCAGATCAGATTCAGAAAACTTTATTAGCCCCACAGAGGGGACATTTACGTTGTTACAGCAGACAAGAGCCACAGACAGCTTAATGTTACATATGTTACATCCAGAAAAAAGTATTATGATAAAAAATAAAATAAAATAAAAAGTTATACAATTTACAAAATACACATCCTGTAACCGTTCTGAGGATTTAGCAGCCAGGTATATATTGCACAGTTTTTAACGGCATATATATATATACAGGGTTGGGTGAAGTGTTTTGCCCAAAATACCAAAATGCCTCATAGCCCTCTATGTCAGCCCTGATTTTGGCACATCTTGTAAATTAGTTAAATTTAGCTTTGTGTTTTTATTTAAGTCGCCGTTCAATGTTTTTTATATGAAGCAGATTTAATGATATCGTTGATGTGTGGATGTTGTGTCCTTTTGATAACTTTCTTGAACTTTAGCTGCATGTCTTTTTCTCTCTCACTGAACAGAGTCCCTGTATGTGAACTGGTTCAGCTGGTGAGGCTGGTTATGAAACAGAGGGAGGAGGTGCAGACAGGTGAGGGAAGGTGAAGTCAGACTTGTCAGACTGCCAGACACCATTTTACAGCTCGGAGCAGGAGGAGAACAACAGGGTGAGTGTTAACACCAGGATCTGCTTTCTAACACATTCATTATTTACTCTGTTTTACTGGATGTCAGAAAATAACTTCTTGGTTAACAATCTGCGTCCTAGAGTCCATTGAGACTTCTGCAAGTGTTTAAACTATTTCCTGTTTTCTGATTCGTCAGAGTTACATAACATGTGACAGCTCAGCGCAGTCAAAATGGAGGGCGGCCTGAAGTCTGACTGATTTCATGTAGTTTAACTGTGTGTGTGTGTGTGTGTGTGTGTGTATATATGTGTATGTGTGTGTGTGTATGTGTGTGTGTGTGTGTGTGTGTGTGTGTATGTGTGTGTGTGTGTGTGCGTGCGTATATAGTGTGTATGTGTGTGTGTGTATGTGTGTGTGTGTGTATATATGTGTATGTGTGTGTGTGTGTATGTATGTGTGTGTGTGTGTGTGTGTGTGTGTGTGTGTGTGTGTGTGTATGTGTGTGTGGTGTGTGTGTGTGTGTGTGTGTGTGTTGTGTGTGTGTGTTGTGTGTGTGTGTGTGTGTGTGTGTGTGTGTGTGTGTGTGTGTGTGTGTGTCTCCAGTGTTACTGGTTTATCTCTCAGACTGGAGAAGATGAGTGATTTAAAAGATGAGGAAGAGGACAGATCTCCAGTCCTCAGCTGTCTGTCTCTGAAGAGTGACTGGTCTATGTTTGAACCTCCATTCTTCAGTAATGAACCTGGACCCTCAGACTCAAAGTAAGAGTTTCTACCAAGGCCGTATTCATGGAGTCAACATTGGGGGGGACCAAAAATTCAATCAAGCCCACAGCTAGTTAGCTACTATTCCTGAAAAGTTTGGTTTTAACATCAGAACTACAAGTTACTTACACAAAGAAGCTAAACCGGAGGGTTCATTAACATTACCATTACCAAATAAAAAGAATATAGATTACTTTAGGGCTAACTAGAAAAGATACCAGAACTGATGGAGGGCAAATTAAAACATGACTGACCTGCTTGGAGCATCAAGCTAACTGAAGCTGGACTCAGACGTGCGACAGCGAAATACACCCCCCGGGTACAAAATAAAGGTATGCATAAACAAACAAGGCGGAACCAATTTACATATGAAAAGAATATATCATTTTGGTGAAGTTCACAATAACAGAAAATAAAGATTTTCAAGTATACAAATAGCCAAAATAAAAAAGTCATAGAATAGCAATTTTATTTAAAAAAAAAAAAAAAAAAGAAGTTTTTGTTATTTTTGCTATTTATTGGGGGGGGGGGGGGACATTTTGAGTGTATCTGAATATTGGGGGGGATGTGTGTCCCCCAATGTATATGGTGAATTCGGCCCTGGTTTCTACTGTAAACCCACCTGAAGAGGATTCAGTTTTGATGTAATCTAATATATTAAACTTATTTTGAATGATCTCAGTAAAGTACAGTAAGAAAGTTGAATTGAACTCTTGCTCCTTGTCATCATCAGAGATGGTAAATAATATACTAGTGAAATCTTTATCACACTCTACATGTTGGACTTTGTGTTAGGTTCAGCAAATACAAACATGTAAAACCTTTCACCAGCATGACGCTGAAACAGAAAGACTTCTCTCTGAATGAACTAATGATGTTTAAAACATGTTGTTTCCACAGACAGAGAGCAGAGTCTCCAGTCCCCAGCTGCCTGTCTCTGAAGAGTGACCAGTCTATGTGGGACCCTCCATTCTTCAGTAATGAACCTGGACCCTCAGACACAAAGTAAGAGTTTCTACTGTAAACTGACCTGAAGAGGATTCAGTTTTGATGTAATCTAATATATTAAACTGTTCTTTAACCTGTTAAGCCCGAGAGACCCCGGTACCGGGGCACTGCCGCAACATCTTGCAGGAAACAGTGTCTGAGGGCATGTTCATTTAATAAACTATGAATGTTTTATATCCATGTAACGGGAAGAAACTCATCTAACTGATCATTTATTTATTTTTTCACCCACAATGCTAACACTGAGCCTCTGAATTAGCAACGAGCGAAAAATGCTAACACCTTACTGCACCGAAAATCACTCACAAAACCTTATTATTTATCTTTTCTCTACATCCATGACATCGTTTCACATCGTGAGGTGACACAGAATCGATGGGTACCCTCATTATCACTGAATTATACGAATTTGCGACGTTATAAACAAAAACGGACATCAAAACATGTGGCGCTAGGTAGCTAAAAATGCTAACATGTTTACCTTGGCTCTGTAGTCTCTCCAAAGTGGTCTTCAATGGCATTAAAACGATAAAAACGCTGCTGAAGTTAATCCATAGGTTAATCTAATGTGTCTGTGTCCCTTTGAAATGATTTCTGATAATCCATAAGCAATAAAACTGCTTTTCCGTTTCCAGATGTCAGAGCGAGAGATAGGTTCACTCTGATGCAAAACTGCATGCGCGAAGCCCCCACCTTTTCTCTTCACAATGAGTGTGTGTGTGGGGGCCTCCCCCTTCGATTCTATTGGCTCTAACGGTCAGAAAGAGGTGTTGTGGAGGTCCAGTACTCACACAACAGGAAAGAATGAAACAGAGAGGAATCAATGAAACACAAACACAGAAATAGTTGAGATTAATCATTATTATTTAGTTGCGCACCACCAAACAACAATGGGGAAACATTACCTTGCTTCAAGAGCAACCAATCGCAGAAATGGTCCCACAAATATTCAGAAACACAGGACACTTATAGGTTTCCTAAATGACACACGAACATGTTCCCTAATCATGTTTAACGCACACACATTGTCAGTTCTCCTAAACTTGGACGCACCAACATCAGAGCAACATGTAAGTTCCAGATGTCACACACCAACATCCTTATCGTTTCTTAGCTAATGCATGCTGGATATGAACCACTAACTAACAAGACTTTAACTGTATTATATCTGAGGAAGACCTCTCTTGGAGTTCCTCTGACCTTTGCCAATTTACTTAACATGGGTACATCTGCTGTTAATTGCAAAGACCATTGATAATTAGCAAAGAGACTCATGGGCCTCTTCCAATATCTGGAAACTGTACTTAAATTATAGTTATATTGAGAAGGTCCAAGACTTGATATAACAGAGGTGTCAACCATCAAAATCGAGCAAGGGGGGCCAGAGATATGGAAAATGCACCCAAATGACCCCAGAAGTGGTTTCTTTTTGCTAAATCTCTCTAAAAAGGTCAAATGTCACTTGTTTTGCATCAATCTTGATACAGGGTACTTATTATATGTTGTACTTTGGATTCCTAAAGCTTTTAGTCTACCTTACCATCATCCAAGGGTAGTTTTCCAGTGGCGAACCGTGTCTATCACAACTGGACCTTCTGTAGACATACACACCCCCCGCCGCCGCCGCCGCCGCCCCCCCCCCCTCCGCGGCATTATAATGTCCGTCTTTTCACTGACTTGTCGTCTTGAAAAGGGTACTCACAACAATTCCGCAACAACTTCATCTTCACCTGTTGCATAAAATAAAACGGCATGAATTGCTTCGTCGCATTCATCTCTGTCTCGAGCCAGTTAACTAGCGGGCCTTCTAGAGGACCCTGGAACCGAGGGAAACTCTGAAAGAATACACCCATTGGCTACAAATCAATATATGATTGGTTGATCAAACTGTCAGTCCAAACGTACGCTCTCATTCAATGCAACGGCCAGGGCATTCTATCAAGGATGTAGAATACCTTGGTTGAAGGATATATTCTACCCAGAGACCCAGAACAAGATCTGGGGCCTCATTTATAAAGGGATATACGCTCAAAAAATGGCGTACGCCAGTTTCTACGCAATGTTTGCGATTTATAAAATACTAACTTGACGGGAAAATGTGCGGTCCTCCACGCAAACTCTAACCCATGCGTACACACTAAGCACAACAACGGGAGAGACGAGTTGGCAGAAGGAAGAATGGAGAGAAATATGTGGAAATAAATAAAATGTTACCTCTCATTTATCAAATATGAAGAATTCATTTTCAAACATTGATTAAAGCCAATCTTAAAATGATTAAACAAACGCCTGTTTGAGACTCCTCAGTGCACACAAAAACATAACTTGGAGAAATAAATAAATACGGATGTTATTTAAAACCACCTCGAATATGTTGTGTTAATGTTATGAAATGTTTTCTCATAAATGATGCGGTAAGCAGGAGGACAGAATTACGTCTAAACTGACGCCGTTTTGCATTTCTATAGGTTGTAGATACGAGCATGGTTTTATATCCTATCACGTTTAATCGTTTTTATGCCGTTTGCCAAGACTTGATAAGTCGCTCGTAAAACACAGGAGGTATGGAAACTAAGAACACCATATGTGGTAAATTGTACAGCTAATATAACACAACACATTGTATTTCCTTTAACTGGTGGATTATGGATATATAGTTGCTGATCGACAGCTGGAACACAAACCACCAAATACAACACAATAATTCAGATCCAGTCGTCATGACTACACTCCGGAGGGATTCCCCGATCATTTCTTACAGTTTCTCATCAAGGGGGGGTCTCCTGTCCCCGGGACAAACACACTGCCTGAGGAAGGTTATGTGTATTTTTTTTGTCATTAACTTTTTTCGGACCACTTATTTATTTATTTGGTGACGATCCGACCTCCATGCTGCTACTCTGGTTCAAACTGCATCCACCAAACAATATGATTTATCTCCACCTCCCCAAAATAACCAAAATCTGACACGGTGTGAGATGTCTTTTTTAGCTGTTCGGTCGTAATTTCCTGCGATCTTCTTCATGCAGTCAGTCAGAATGAATGAATGAATGAATGGGCGTTTCTTTGACTATTTATAGGCAAATATGGGCGTTACGAGAAGCCTGCAAAAGCTGCGCCGCATTTGGAGTCGATTGTGATTTATAAAGGGAAACCGGCGTATGAAGTGCCGTACGCACTTCCCTCGCCGGTACGCAATGTTTTGTGAATCGGAAAATGTCGGAAAATGTCTGTACCTATTTTTTTGCTTTGTACTACGTAAGCAACCTTCTCACGTCAATCCTACGCAAGGCGTTATAAATGAGGCCCCTGATTGGTTGCTTTCTTTTCTAACAGAAAACCACTGAAATGCGTAGTGCATGGTCCGAGAAGGACAAACAAATCAACGTAACTCTGTAATATTACAGATCAACAACACACATACGATTCTCATTTATTCATTTTATATACATTTTATTACATTTTATTTATGTAATTACATTTGTTTTATCTGAGTGTTCCAGGGTATTCTCTGAATACCTTGAAGGCCCTGACGGTTCGCCACTGTAGTTTTCACTATAAGTAAAAAATAATCTTTGGACGGACACTATAATTTACAGTTTTTTACATGTAAAATCTGAATTTTCTTTAAAATAAAAAACATCTATATTGATTCTGACTTTTCTACATCCAACTCACAGGTTTATCATTACTTTGAGAAAAAAGATTATTAATTTAACCCTTTTAGAAGGGAAGATATGGTCATTTGTTCTGGGAATGTCATTTTCGAGCCTGAGACCTGAAAAACAGGCTCAGGGCTTAACAGGTTAATGATATCATGTGAGCAGTTTGTAAAGGACAAACGCAGCAGAGTAAGCTAACATTATCTAAGGATATTTCAATATGCAAATATATTATCATTGTATCTGTGTATAAAATGGTTTTAAATAGCAAAAATGTTGATAAATTCTGATTTAAAAACTAAATATATCGTCCAAAACATTATTTAACTACTTGGGCATGTCTATGATATGTCTTTTTAAGATGTTTATTAATAATAGTGATAACCTGGTGAGCTAGTTGTGTTTAGCATTAGCAGATAAAACAGTGTTTTGTGATATCACATGTAGAGTCAATACAAAGACCCAGATCATCATCACTTTATTTTATAACTATTTTTCTTTTTGTATTGCTCTTGCTCTTATTGTTATTATGTTATTATGTTGCATTGTTGGAGAAGCCTGTGACATAAGATTTTCAACTACATAATTACTCTGTAGCTATGTCAGATTGACAATAAAGAACCTTGAACCTTGAGATCCATGCCATTCAACAGGAAGGAAGTGAAAATGTTAAATTCATGTCACCTGCGTATTCGTGCAGCGTGAAACATTTCATCTTGAGTGTAAAGTTAGTGACGCTCTGTTACAAAAACCTGTCAGAGTTGAGATTGTGCTCCTGTGGTCTCTGACGGTCTGAGGGGAACCAGAGAGGAGAACAGAGCTCTACAGCAGCTCATATTCAATCAGGGTTATTCATGTTCCTGTATAAACCAGAGGCTGACTGTGGTGATAACAATATAGTGACTGCTGTACTTATGACTACATGAAGTTACTTTGAGTGAGGATGGAGCAGCTAATGTTAGCCTAGCTTTAATCAAACCGGTCTCATTCTATGCTCATTGTGTTGGAGACAGACCTGACAAAGCATTAACTCAGGCTTTTTACAAATCAGTATCATTCTGTTGTTATTTAGGCATCCTTTCCATATGTTTATTGCTATTAATTCACAGCAGATTCTATGCAAGTTGGGTTTATAGTGTACCAGGTTAATACAGCTGTGTGTGTAGATTCAGGGAACATGTGCTCCTCTGGGTCATGAATCCAGACAGGATGCTCTCTGGTTTTATGATCATGTGAAGTGTAAGCTATCTACCTGATCACAAGGGTATATTATATAGACCTTTTTTTAAATATCAAACTAGAATTTGCCCCCTTGTTGTGCCTTTGGTGAGAATCAGCTCCTCTAAAGTAAAGTGCTGTAAAGGATGTGTTCATCTCCACAGAGGGAAGAGGAAGAGTGGTGTTCCTGTGGAGGAGCAGCTGTCCAGCTGTGCTCTGTGTCAGGACGTCCTGAAGGATCCAGTCTCTACCAGCTGTGGACACTGGTTCTGCAGACAGTGCATCACCTCATACTGGGAGCAGAGACCTCCATCAGGAGACCCCTCCTGTCCCCAGTGTGGAAACAGACCGAGAACCAGAGCTGGCCTGCAGACAGCCAGTCAGACCAGCTCTGTACGAGGTAAGAGGCCGAACTCATGCAGCGTCTTATTCCTCTTCCTGGTTCATTTGTTTGTTTTATTAGGTATTCTGTTGAAGAACATAGACATTACAATGTTTATAAAACATTCAAACTCATTCTGTTTTTATTAGTTTTATTGTTAGATTCTCAAAAGCATGTTCCTGATTCTCTCCTGTTTCCTTCTCTGTCAGCAGATAGTGGTCTGCAGGAGGTTTTAGATGAACATAGGCTCAGTCTGAGGAGGAGATGTGAACGTGTGACTGAAGGAACTGATCAAAGTGAAACCCTCCTCAACAGGATCTTCACTGAGCTCTACATCACACAAGGCCAGAGTGAAGAGGTTAATACCCAACATGAGGTGAGGCAGCTGGAGACAGCTTCCAAGAAGAAGACCCTCCATGACACTCCAATCAAGTGCCAGGACATCTTTAAAGCCTTACCTGACCAACAGACTCACATCAGAGCGGTCCTGACCAACGGAGTCGCTGGAGTTGGAAAAACCTTCTCAGTGCAGAAGTTCACTCTGGACTGGGCCGAGGGTTTGGAAAACCAAGATGTCAGTCTGGTGATCCCGCTCTCCTTCAGGGAGCTGAACCTGATCAAAGGTGAGCAGTACAGTCTTCTCAGGCTGCTCCATGTTTTCCATCCAACCTTACAGAAGGTCACAGCAGAGCAGCTGGCTGTCTGTAAAGTGCTGCTCATCTTTGACGGCCTGGATGAAAGCAGACTTTCTCTGGACTTCAGAAACAATGAGGTTGTGTCTGATGTCTCACAGCAGTCCTCAGTCAACGTGCTGCTGACAAACCTCATCAGGGGGAAGCTGCTTCCCTCGGCTCTCGTCTGGATAACTTCCAGACCTGCAGCGGCCAATCAGATCCCTCCTGAGTGTGTGGACAGGGTAACAGAAGTACGAGGCTTCACTGATGCCCAGAAGGAGGAGTACTTCAGGAGGAGATCGAGTGATGAAGACCTGTCCAGCAGAATCATCTCTCACATCAAGAGCTCCAGGAGCCTCCACATCATGTGTCTGATCCCAGTCTTCTGCTGGATCACTGCTGAAGTTCTGGACCACATGTTGACTACAGACCAGAGAGGAGAGCTGCCCCAGACCCTCACTGACATGTACTCACACTTCCTGCTGGTCCAGACCAAGAGGAAGAAGCAGAAGTATGAAGAGGGACATGAGACGAGTCCACAGCAGCTGACGGAGGCTGACAGGGAGGTTCTTCTGAAGCTGGGGAGGCTGGCGTTTGAACATCTGGAGAAAGGAGACATCATGTTCTACCAAGAAGACCTGGAGCGCTGTGGTCTTGGTATCACCGAGGCCTTGGTGCACTCAGGAGTTTGTACAGAGATCTTCAAAAGAGAGAGTGTGATCTTCCAGAAAACAGTCTACTGCTTTGTTCATCTGAGCATTCAGGAGTTTCTGGCTGCAGTCTACATGTTGCACTGTTACACCAACAGAGACACAGCGGTACTGAAGGACTTCCTGAAGAAAGACTGGCCCTATAAGAACAGTAAAAACAGTGATCAGGATTACCCATCCCTGGATGTGTTCCTAAAGGGAGCCATGAAGAAATCCCTCCAAAGTGAAAATGGCCACCTGGACCTGTTTGTCCGCTTTCTCCACGGCCTCTCTCTGGAGTCCAACCAGAGACTCTTAGGAGGCCTGCTGGGTCGCACAGACAACCGTCCAGAAACCATCCAGAGAGCCATCAATAACCTGAAGGAGATGAGCAGTGATGAAATCTCTCCTGACAGGAGCATCAACATCTTCCACTGTCTGACAGAGATGAAGGACCACTCAGTACATCAGGAGATCACAGAGTTCCTGAAGTCAGAGAACAGATCAGAGAAGGAACTCTCTGTGATCCACTGCTCTGCTCTGGCCTACATGCTGCAGATGTCAGAGGAGGTTCTGGATGAGTTGGACCTGACGAAGTACAAAACATCAGTGGAGGGGAAACAGAGACTGATTCCAGCTGTGAGGAACTGCAGGAAGGCCAAGTAAGTCCAGATGTGATTAACCTGTTACGCACCGCCCCCCCGGTACCGGGCGGATAAACGCGTCATTTGCAGGAAACAACGTCTAAGGAATCTTAATATTTAATAAACTATGAATGTTTTATATCCATGTAACGGGAAGAAACTCAGCTAACTGATCTTTTTTTTAAAAATATCAAAAAAACAAACACAATGCTAACATTGTTAGCCACGAGCGAAAAAATGCTAACCTATCACTACACCTAAACTCACTCATAACTCCCTTATTACTTATCCTAGATGCACAGCCAACCCATCGATTAGCATCGCCTGGAGACACAGAATCTGTGGCTGCCCACCTCAACACTCAGTGATAAACATTTGCGACGCTAAAAACGAAAACGTACATCAAAACATGTGGCGCTAGGTAGCTACAAACGCTAACATGGCTTACCTTGGTCAAAACTGGTCTTCAATGGCATTAAAACGATAAAAAACGATGCTGCAGTTAATCCATAGGTTAATCCAATGTATCTGTGCCCCCTTTGAAATGATTTCTGATAATCCATAAGCAATAAAACTGTTTTTTCGTTTCCAGATGTCAGAGCGAGAGATCGCTTCACTCTGGTGCAAACCTGCATGCGCGAAGCCCCCACTGTTTGTTTTCACAATGAGTGTGTGTGGGGGCCTCCCCCTTCCATTCTATTGGCTCTAACCGTCAGAAAGAGGTGTCAACCATCAAAATCGACCAAGGGGGGCCAGAGATATGAAAAAAAAAAATTTTTTGCTAAATCTCTCTAAAAAGGTCAAATTTCACTTGTTTTGCATCAATCTTGATACAGGGTACTTATTATATGTTGTACTTTGGATTCCTAAAGCTTTTAGTCTACTAACCCATCATCCAAGGGTAGTTTTCACTATAAGTAAAAAATAATTTTTGGACGGACACTATAATTTACAGTTTTTTACTATGTAAAATCAGAATTTTCTTTAAAGTGAACCTATCATGCTATATTTGAATAATATAGTGTAGGACCATACCTATATAAGGCATATTTATACTTTTTATATACCATGCCTCATTTCGCTCAATTTGAAAAATGTTAGCTCTGTTTTTGCAAGGGGTGATTCTGTGAGAACAGCACCACCTACAGGCCTGGCATATGTACTACAGCGTATCCAGCGCTTTCGAACGGCAATGGCCGTGGCTGTCTCCTCCTGATTGGTGGAGTTGGCCCAATAGCCGTGGCGCCACTGTCCTGACGTCAGGACAGTGTTCAAATCTGGATCAGTTTTTATCAGATCCGTTGCAGCCCCTTTTTTAGAGATTTGGGTATGGAGGAAAATAGAGAGGGTTGTGTTTTCTGACACTTGGTGAGTTCCCTGGAACACCGGGGACACATATTCATGTAGAAAAGACGTACAAAAGTGCATTTTGCATGATAGGTCCCCTTTAAAATAAAAAACATCTATATTGATTCTGACTTTTCTACATCCAACTCACAGGTTTATCATTACTTTGAGAAAAAAGATTATTAATTTAACCCTTTTAGAAGGGAAGATATGGTCATTTGTTCTGGGAATGTCATTTTCGAGCCTGAGACCTGAAAAACAGGCTCAGGGCTTAACAGGTTAAAGACATTTGGTACATTGATAGGGACCACAGTTCAAAGCTACTAGTAAACCATCTTTTTTGGATTTCCAGTGAAGAAGAAGAAGTCGTCTTGCCAATAGCGAAGTAAATGCCAGAATTTCCAATTGCCCCGAGTTGTATCTATTATAATCTTCTGGGCACCCAAATATGGCAATATGTGGACAGACTTTCACAGTGAGCGAGAGTATTTTTGAGATATCCTCAAAAAACTTCTAATGGGCAGGAGAAGAACATATGGGATAGGTTGCAGGGAGAGGCTTGACATTTATCACAGATGTCAATAACAGTGGGATATATTGGTGACAGTCGTGCCTTTGAGAAATGAACCCTGTACAGCACCTTGAACTGTATGAGAGTGAGACGAGCACAGGATGAACTTGTATGAATCATTTTAAGAGCAGTGTCCTTCCAGTGATCATCTAAGTTCACACCCAGCTCAGCCTCCCAGGCAGCCTTGATTTTAGTGGTGTGTGAGCTGTCATCGGTCAGGAGTTTGTTATACATTTTTGGAAATAAGTGACTTCTGAAGGGGATCAGAACAAAGAACCTCATCCCATATTTGATTTGGGGGTAGAGAGGGAAAGGATGGAAACAGGGATTTGGTACAGTGTCTAATTTGGAAATAACGAAAAAGGTGAGACTGTGGGAGTTCTAATCCACTTGATAGATCTGTAAAACTACGAAAAGTATTATCCTTATAAAGCTCTCTAAAAGTCCTCAGGCCCTTCTCATGCCATACAGAGAAAGTGGGATCAGATAAGGCAGGTCGGAATAAATGGTTTCCCAATAAAAGAGCTAAAGTGGATGCAGAAGTAAACTTAAAATGCCTCCTAAATTGGTACCAGATTCTAAGAGTAGAACTCACCACAGGGTTAATGTATAGCCAGGTTGGTGGGAATAGAAGAGGTAAGTAGCGCCATTGCGGAGGATGAGCCACAAGACTGTGCCTCTAACTTACACCATGGAGGATGCATTGATTTTGACCAAAATGAAATCATGTGTATGTGTGAAGCCCAATAATATAATTGGAAGTTTGGGAGAGTCAGTCCAGCGTTAAGTCTACATCTTTGAGGAATAGATTTACGTATTCTGGGAGGGCTTCTTAACATTTAACAACCTATTAATGTGTCATACCCACTTAACGGTGTGACGGTCGCAGATTGATCTAAGTGTTTCTTATAAACTGTAGTGGCAGGGGAAAAGGTTAAGGCATGTGGTTTATATTGAAATGAAATGAAAACTATGATACATGTGTATTATCCTCGCAACTACAGTTGTTAAATGTCCACTTTTATGTATGGTTTGGGGGTGTGTGTCATTAAGCCTCATCTACATATTAACCTGTCGCAGCACGCACGGAGCCTTTATAGTGGGTGCGTCACCGGGATGTCAAGGGTTGGTTCTCACGGGAGGAGGAAGTGTGTGTGGCGATGGCTGGTATTCAGCGGGATATAGTAATTTCCTCAGCATGTAAATATATGGATAAATGCAACGGGGAAGTTAACTGAAAGAAACCGAATCTGTGGATATTGCATCGACCGACCAAGAAGCACGTCTCCGTGGAGAGGACACGCTCAGAAAGAGAGATATTCTCTACAAACACCGGGTGAGATCGCTCCTCTGGGACATGCCGGTCCTCGCGTTTCCTTTTTTTTGTGGATTATAGCCTGAATAGGCCTACAAACATTTCTGTTTTTGCCGCAGACGGGCGCAGGAGCAATGAACAATAATGGCCTGGATTAGGCAGTAAAGACAAGTTTGGTGTATCGCAGAGCGGACTGTTTAATTTTGTTTGTGTTGTTTGGCTGGAAAATTGTCAATATAATGGATCAATGCATGAAATCTGACTCTGTTTATTTTGTTTAAGGAGTATATTGGGCGTTAACAATTCTGGTTTGCCTTTTATAATATTATTTCATTCAAGGACCCCTTGTGCGTTTAATTAACACAGCTATTTTTGATAGTTGATCGTTACAACGGGAAGAAGCTCAGCTACCTGACGATACGAACCATTTTTAGCTAAACGAAACACAAGGTTAATACCAAGCCTCTGAATTAGCACTAAGCGAAAAAATGCTAACGCTCTTAGCACAGAACTCACGGTAGCAATCATTTATACTTCATCGGATCTGCAAAAACTAGATATCATATGAAAGCTGAGATTCCACAGATTCCAATGGTATAAGTATCATCACTGTGACCAAAACTCACCGCAGCAAAAGCCAGTAAAGACACACAACTTCCCTTTACGGAGCCAAAACGGCAAATACGTTTTCTGATCAAAAGTTGTGTTCAATGGCATTAAAACGATGAAAACGCTGCTGAAGGTTAATCCAATGTCTCTGTGTCACTTTGAAATGATTACTGTTAATCCATCATCATATTTATGGCAAAAAAAGTATTTTTCATATAGAGTGTAACGAAGCTTTCGGTTTGGGCAAACTGCGTGCGCATCACTCTCACTCCTCAGAGGTAATGTTTAGATGGATTTAAGAACTTCCCCCTCGATTTTATTGGCTCTAAAGGTTCAAAAGTGATCCCATCATTCAAGGGTGGTTTTCACTATAAGTAATGTTTTTTTTTTTAGACGAACACTATAATTGACATTTTTATCAGAACATATGTCAAATATTTTTTTCATCAAATGCTTGAGGTCATTATGTTTCCTCTTTTTTATTAACACATGTTGTAATATATGTGTTATTATAGACTTTATAACTGTGGACTCTCAGAGGCTCACTGTGAAGTTGTGGCCTCGGCTCTGAAGTCTGACCCCTCCCATCTGAGAGATCTGGACCTGAGTGACAACAAGCTGAAGGATTCAGGAGTGGAGCTGCTGATCTCTGGACTAAAGAGTCCAAACTGCAGACTGGAGACTCTCAGGTCAGTTCACTGACTGAACTTCATCTGTTTGTATTTATCATTTTCTGAATTTGAACAAATACATTTCAATTGTTTTTTCCATTTTTGCTAATGACTGCATATTGATCAGAGTAACAAAGAGAAGGTGAATGTGTGAGGGAGAGTGTTTGAGCTTCCACAGACTCACTCTGTGCTCCATGAGTCAGTGGAGATGCTGTCAGTACTGATGAGCTGTGAGGGAGATGAAGGAGTTGTTAAACATCTGATCAAAGTTAAAGTTCCAGATCATCAATGGATTGTTTCTACATAATCACTGACATTAAAGGTCTCCTATCATGCAGAATGCACTTTCTGATGTCTTCTCTACATCACCATGTGTCCCCGGTGTGTCCCCGGTGTGTCCCCGGTGTGTCAGGAGACTCTCAAAGTGTCCGAAATAAACCCCTCTCTCTTTTCCTCCGTACACACATCTCTAAAAACGGGGGAACAACGGAGCTGATCCAGATTTGCTGCGTCATGACCACATTACTAAAATGTGGGCGGGCTTTACACCCACGGGCCAATCAGAAACGTTGCTGTCAGAAACAATGAGACGTGTTCTGGAAGTAATATGGTTTGTGTGTTTACATTAGCATGCTAACACTCAGAGCTAACCTGTACTGGAGAGAGTATGTGTGAAGAAGCAGGAAATCAAAAGGAAGTCACCTTGTGGTAAACCTGAGAGAGAAAGAGTTTGAGCTCCATACTGTTTCAGAGAGAATCCTTGATGTGGTTTGGAACATGATGTGGAGTTTAGTCACGGCAGCATTTAGCTGAGTTTCTGCTGGGAGAATTCTGATCAGGCATTAGCTCCCCCTCATCTTTTTTTAAGCTAAGGACCCGAACCTGCTCTTCTCTAACAGCTGGAACAGAGGGATATGAGGGATTTCTAAAATGCATGATCTGTTTGGTATTTTGAGGAAAACACATCATAGAGATGTTTTTATATATTGTTATAAATCTGAGAACCATAATATATGCCTAAAGATAGCAGATAGGAGACCTTTAAAACCCTGTTTAACTCTGATCAGATTATTAAACCTGGAGTTATTTCAAACAGGAACATTGTTTTCTAAAGTTACATCATGTTCTCTTTATTCAGTCTGGAGATCTGCAGTTTGTCAGAGATCAGCTGTTCCGCTCTGATCTCTGCTCTGAAGTCCAACCCCTCCCATCTGAGAGGTCTGGACCTGAGTGTGAACGATCTGATGGATTCAGGAGTGGAGCTGCTGAGAGATCTTCTGGAGAGTCCAGACTGCAGACTGGAGGCTCTCAGGTCAGTTCACTGCCTCTCTGTTACTGCTGGAGATCTCATATGTTTATGTTCATTATTCTACATGAATATATTACATCCATACTTTTGTAAATGTTGTTTTGTTCATATGTCTCTAAATGTAGTCTGCAGTCATAACAGTTGATTGTTTCCTAAAGTAACTATTATTCTTCCTGTTAGTTGTTAAAGTAAATGTATGTTTTCTTTAGTAGATGATCTGAATAAAGGAGGTCCTCTGAACTAATATTAGTTTTACATAAAGTTAACTTTCTGACATAGAAATGTTAATGTTCCCATCATTTAGACGTGTTTTCACAGATAATAACCAGAAGGCTGATATAATGATGATCCTCAATAACAGAATGACAGTCTCTGTAATTCAGGGAAAGATCATTGATTAGGACGCAGTGATGACGAGCTGCACATTTCAGACCTGAACATCTGACTGGATTATAAACTGATTTCTATCCTCATCATGTTTTCTTTATTCAGACTGAGGAGCTGCAGTTTGTCAAAGATCAGCTGTTCTGCTCTGATCTCTGCTCTGAAGTCCAACCCCTCCCATCTGAGAGATCTGGACCTGAGTGAGAACGTTCTGAAGGATTCAGTAGTGAAGCTGCTGAGAGATCTTCTGGAGAGTCCAGACTGCAGACTGGAGACTCTCAGGTGAGTTCACTGACTCTCTGTTACTGCTGGAGATCTCATGTTTCATTAGTTATTCAACCTGATTCTTCTACATCATTAACTTACATCCATTCAGTTGTAAATGTTCTTTTGTTCATATGTTTATGTCTCTAAATGTAGTCTGCAATCATAACAGTTGATTGTTTCCTAAAGTAACTATTATTCTTCCTCTGTTAGTTGTTAAAGTAAATGTATGTTTTCTTTAGTAAATGGTCTGAATAAAGAGGTCCTCTGAACTAATATTAGTTTTACATAAAGTTTACTTTCTGACATAGAAATGTTAATGTTCCCATCATTTAGACGTGTTTTCACAGATAATAACCAGAAGGCTGATATAATGATGATCCACAATAACAGAATGACAGTCTCTGTAATTCAGGGAAAGATCATTGATTAGGACGCAGTAATGATGAGCTGCACATTTCAGACCTGAACATCTGACTGGATTATAAACTGATTTGTATCCTCGTCATGTATTCTTTATTCAGAGTGAGGGGCTGCAGGTTGTCAGAGATCAGCTGTTCTGCTCTGATCTCAGCTCTGAAGTCCAACCCCTCCCATCTGAGAGTTCTGGACCTGAGTCAGAATGCTCTGCAGGATTCAGGAGTGAAGCTGCTGAGAGATCTTCTGGAGAGTCCAGACTGCAGACTGGAGACCCTCAGGTCAGTTCACTGACTCTCTGTTACTGCTGGAGATCTCATGTTTCATTTGTAGCGTACGTGTTATCCCTGAACGAATAAATGTAATTTGGGCGCCAGACAGAGGAATATTTAATATAGCCAGCTGTCAAAAAATGATATGCTTAAACACGCAGAAACAGAGGGATAGCCCGGTGACCTAGCTACTGAAGTTCACAAAGGAAAAATAATAATCAACCAACTCACTTTCAACATAAAATGTCTGTATCTTTAACCCCAAATAATAATCAGTACATTAAACAAACAACTCGTGGCACAGACCATTTACCAGAAACACTTAAATAAGTCAAATTAACTCACAAAACATCAATCACTTATGTGACTCCGAGAGCCTATGATTGTTTACATCATGTGGATTGACTGTGAGTGAGTGTAGGGGGGGGAATAAGTATTTGTTGTTCTTGTACTAAATTAAAAACTGCAAACTTAAATGTTGACTGATTCTTAAAGGAACTGTAATAGATGTTAGTTGTAAAAAGTAAATCCATGTTTTTAATATTTAGTAAACAATAACGTCTGAATAAAGTTCATCTGAAGTAATATTAGTTTTACAGGATAAAGTTGACTTTCTGAAGAAGACATGTTTTTTTGTTCCCTTTCATTTCAATGTTGAGTAACATCTGATTATAAACTGATTTGGATCCTCATCATGTTTTCTTTATTCAGACTGATGAGCTGCAGTTTGTCAGAGATCAGCTGTTCTGCTCTGGCCTCAGCTCTGAAGTCCAACATCCATCTGAGAGATCTGAACCTGAGATACAACAAGCTGAAGGCTTCAGATGAGAAGCTGCTGAGAGATCTTCTGGAGAGTCCAGACTGCAGACTGGAGAACCTCAGGTCAGTAAGGGGTCTCTGCTGGTTCAGCAGTATTGTATGAACCACAGGGAGGTGTTTCTCTCACTGGGGAAACAGATCAGTGATGTTACCCACTGACTGCAGGCTCTCTCATTCTTCCATCAACTATAGAAGGCCAGCTGAACCTGCAAAGCCACACTTTAGTAATCAACTCTCTAACAGACATATGGGGTTTGACAGAAGAGTGGGAAAGGTGGTCTGTTCTTATGGGATGTTTTTAATTTCTAGACCAGGGGTGTCCAAACTGCGGCCTGGGGGCCAAATGCGGCCCTCTGAATCCGCCCTCAGCAAATTCTGAAAGTTTAATGAAATATGACCCACAAATGAAACTTGTGCTTGTCTTGTATTGTACTTCTTAAATATATATGTACACATATATTACTCAGTAGTATTCATGTGTTCATAATCCCACTTTTAAAATAAATGCAGTCAATTAAAGCTGAAAACATGTTCTAACACATCTAACTTGATAAGAGAAAAGCCCAATAACTTATTTTTATAACAAGCGTGAAATAAACCTTCATATTTCCTGTGATTATAATCAATCTGAAGATCCTGCTTTAACCTCTTAAGCACGGCGGTCCCCCCATTGGACCCCTCCCACCGTTTTTTTTTCGAGACTGTGTCTCAGGGCTTCTTAACATTTATGAAACTATTAATGTGTCGCACCAGATTAACGGGAAGAATCTCAGCTAACTGAAGATATGAACCATTTTTACCAAAACAAAACACAAGGGTAATACCAAGCCTCTGAATTAGCACTAAGCGAAAAAATGCTAAAGCACTTTAGCACACAACTCAAGATAAAAATACCCTTATTACTTATCGTAGCTGCACATACAATATATCCGCTGAGAAAAATTAAAGCTGAGACTCCACAGATTATTTAGGTATAGTATCATCACTGAGCGATCCGAACTTGCGACAGGGGAAGCAAACACAGACCTCACAACACGTACCTTTACGGAGCTTTTAACGGGAGATCGTCTCACCGTAGCTGTGAATTAGGTCAAAAAGACGTGTTCAATGGCATTAAAACGAAAAACAAAAAAATGCTACAACTGTTGATCCATAGGTTGATAATGTACCTGTGCCTTTGAAAAATTATTTATAATCCATAATTCCATTTTTATGTAAAAATTAAAAAAGTTAGCTGCTAATGGTAGCCACCAGAGTGTATGCAGCTTCCGGTTTTGGTAACGCGTCACTCTCACTCCTTATTTGTTAACGTTTTGGTGTGTATAGAACTTTCCCTCGATTCCATTGGCTCTAGCGGTTATAAAGAGATTTCATTCATCAGAATCGAGCAAGGGGGGCCAGAGATAGGTCAAATCCACCCAAATGACCCCAGAAGTGGGGTCTTTTGGCTAAACCTCTCTAAAAAGGTCAAATGTCACTTGTTTTGCATCAATCTTGATACAGGGTACTTATTATATGTTGTACTTTGGATTCCTAAAGCTTTTAGTCTACTAACCCATCATCCAAGGGTAGTTTTCACTATGAGTAAAAATGAATCTTTGGACGGACACTATCATTTACAGTTTTTTACTATGTTCAATCTGAATTTTCTTTAAAATAAAAACATCTATATTGATTCTGACTTTTCTACATCCAACTCACAGGTTTATCATTACTTTGAGAATAAAGATTATTAATTTAACCCTTTTAGAAGGGAAGATATGGTCATTTGTTCTGGGCATGTCATTTTCGAGCCTGAGACCTGAAAAACAGGCTCAGGACTTAACAGGTTAAGGAATGAGCTGCTAACAGAATAAAGTAAACCCTCTGGAGAGCTGAGAGCTGTTGTTTCTTAAAGCATCTTCAAGTAACAAGCATCCTTTACCTTCATTTGATTGAGTTTTCTGACTTATAACTGAACTCATGAGGCAACATACCTCTAGAGAGCGGCCCAGACCTTTATATATTTTTCTGTATGTGGCCCTCAGGGAAAAGAGTTTGGACCCCCCCTGTTCTAGACCAATGACTGGTTTACTTCCTGTCAAGCAGCTGAGAGCTGTGGCAGGCAGTCGTAGTGTTTGCAGAGAAGATATGATGGGATGTAAAGCATGAGATCAGGACTCTGAAGCTGACTCAAAGAACTAACACTTATTTAAACTGGATCTCAAACTGTTGGATTGTGTTCATCTCTACAGGATCAGAGATGATGAGAGGATCAGAGCCAAGATCCAGAAGACCTGTGAGTACTGAAACCATATCCTCCATTCATCCAGATATGAAACTCTTTAATGGAGCATGACCTCAGAGGAAAACAACACTCTTCTTTCTCTCTCTTCATCATTCTGGCTGCTTCTCTTCATGTTTTATCATCATCATCATCATTCTCTCTCTCTCTCCTTCTCCTGACAGAGTTTGGACTTTGGAGAGACAGCTCACGGACAAACTCAAGGAACTGAAAGACACTCCCTAACAGGCCGTATGCTGTGTAGCCTTACCTTGGATGACTCAGTGCAGTGTTCTGTGCAGGTTGTTGGTTTGCTCTTCCAACTCAAGGAGCTCAAAGACTGATTGGAAGTTGACATTTCTGATTTCTGATTCAATGTGAAGGAAAATTCACCTTTGAGTTGATACAGTATGTGTGTGCATATAATGCCCCCTTTGGCCTAACCTGGGAGAGCCTTATGTTCACTGCCAACCTAAGGAGCTCACACATGTTAATCAAGAATGTATTATTATTGGCTCAGCCAGGTTTTACGGGTCTACTTACAGACGGGTCACTCATTTTGAAATTATTTTATTTTTCTTTAATTTTTCCTCCTCATGTAGAATGCTATCACGAAACACACATTTGGATTATAGCACAAAGAACATCTGATTGAATGTGAGGTAGGGAAATAATCATTTGAGTAAGCAGCTTGAAAATGCACCTTGAAAATGCTTGAAAAGTGCTTGAATTTGAATCCTGCATCTTTTATACCTTTGCCCTGTTTTCGAAGTCGCCCTCTTGCTACTTAAAAAAAGCGCTTTTGGTCCAGCTAATGTCCCTCTGCATGCTAACTGTACGGGGCTGTATTTTAGTTGTTATTAGATTCATAACAAATAAATCCTGAAAGCTGAATTCCTCTGAACTTCAGTGACTCTTGATTTCTCTGTGGAACAGATTGTTCTCCTGCAGAAAGAGATTATGAAGCAGGAAGCGTTCAGTGTGTAGGTTTAAACTCACTGTGAGGCTCGGCCCTAGATACTAACTGAGATATCACACACACATTTCTGTGTTTCATCAGGAGCAGCTCTGGGTGTTAGCAGATTCTTACATCATCCTGTGAGCCTTAAAGTGGGAATACTGAGTGCAAACTGGAGTAAAAGTGGTACCCAGAAATGCTTGCTAATGTCTACATCCTGGCATTCTGGCATTCGTTGTGTACAAAATGTCCATGCATTACTCACTCAGTTCTGTGTCATTCTCTGTATGAATGATATCTGCTAATGGAGAATTTGATTAAGCCTCCAACTGGCTTCATGTCAGGCTCTTATGTCACTCCTGCTGTTGTCTTCATAGCCAACAGGTCTTTGTGGAGATGCAGGCAGCTATCATGATAGTGCTACTCCCGTCAGTCTGGTAAACACACAGAATACTTTCCTCAGGCTGTATGAACAAATATAAACGGTTAAAACAGTCACACAGATGCACAACGTTAGCTTCAATATCTACATGAGGACCGGAAGCGTTAGCCACTTTTCCTTTTAACATTTCTCATAGTGCAGACATTTTGCTACTCAAATCAACTCAGTCTCACGGCATTTCGTGTTATAGTCACAAAATTAATGTAATCTATTGATTCGTGTTCACCAACACGATTTTTGCATTTTTTCGTGTTACACAGAACGATTTAAAAAAAATGCTTTAAATGCAATGTATTTCTATTGGTAGTGTGTTTCGTGCCTGCGTCTTTTTGTCCGGTCGGGTCTTGGAAGACCAGAAGCTGTGTGGTTCATAAAAACATGTTCTTACTCAATATCTAACCCTAAGCCTAACCCTATCCCTTTTATTTTAAATAGTATAATGTCTGAGTTTTTTTGCCGTCAGTGAGGAAAAGAGCCTCAGAATACTCACATCTGTATTTTTTTAAATCTCTTTTTCCTTCTAATTTGTTATTATTTACATTGCTTTTAAAATCGTTCTGTGTGACACGAAAACAATGGGGAAATCGTGTTGGTGAACACGAATCAATAGATTAATTTCGTGACTATAACACGAAATGCCGTGAGACTGGGTTGCAATGTTGGCAGCTAAAAATAGCATCTAATACGAGCAGTCAAAACAGGCAACTCATATTAGCTGTTATAGAGTGATTTAGTGACGAGTCCTAAAACCAGGAAGTGAGTCAGCATTTCACCACTTCCTGTTCCCTCGTCTCAGAGCCAATGGGATCTCTCCATAGGGTTTAGGAAAATATCTGTAAATAAGGTCTGTGGTTGAGACACATTGAAGAGACGGATCACGTTTTGTTCTAGGACATTAAATCCATCAGCAGTGACCCCACTGGTGATTTCTGAAGAGTTGACGTGTCTGAAAAACGATGGTTGTTACCAAGTGGCTGAATAGGACTACAGAAGTCGTGGAGGACGTTGTACGTCATTACGCCGAACACGTAAACACTCCTCTAAGTTAGTTTGCCCTGTTCTGCTTGAAAGCAAGTCCCTGCCTCCTGCAAACTGTTCAAACAAACGCTTCAACTTGTACCATTTAGAATCTGTATGTTTGAATATGGATCTGAAGTTGGCGTGACGTTGAAGTCGTGCTGCTGGACTCGGTAGTTCCTTTATAGCATAACGTTAGCATTTTGCTTCTGGCCATTAGATTTATGATTAGAACATTATAAAAGTAGGGTAGACATGTGGAGATTATCCGGCTGAACAAAACGTGCATTTATCAAACAGCTTCGTTTTCCACAGACAATATTTCCAGATATTTTCCAAAATCCTCTGGAGAAATCCTGTTGCTTTTTAGTGGAGGGAACCAGCAGCTTCCTTCAGGGTGAACACGTCCTCCCTGCACCGCTCTATAAGCTACTTATATTAGCTGCTAATGTTAGCTGCAAAGAAAAACAACAACAAGTGAGGCCATGAAAGGATTTGTCTCCTCTGAATGCCCCAACCAGCGGAGCACCAGGTTATCAACATGATAACAAACAGAAAAGAAGAAAGTATTCAAAGGCAACAGACAAAACTCTTCTTTAAAGTTCATTTCAAAACTTTATAGCGTATACTTTAAGCGTTTGATACCGTCGATCATCGCATCTTGAAGCAGAGGCTAGTCAGTATTGGTATCACAGTGCACTGAGATAACTGTAAAGCATTAACCCATCACTGTACCCTGTATGCAAGGGCTGGTTTGCCTTCGCTAACTGTACGGAGGCTCAGGCCCCGGGTCCACAGGAACACATACGGCAAAACGCATCGGAGTAACGCAAACGCAACCGCAAAAAAGCTTCCGCCCACACGCAATATACACCGGATTGTGTCAAGCTCCACGAGACAGCTCCGTTTACATCCAACCGCTGGAAAAGCTGCAGTACATATGCCGAACCTGTACGTGGCGCTGTAACTTCCTCCACAAAAGCAGCAACTTCCTCCACAAAAGCAGCGAAGAAGAATGGTTGTCATGGCTGCACTTCTGTGTATTCTCCGCGGTGGGGGCCGACAGAACCGGCAGAGTTTTTCGCCGGTCAACGTGTGTTAAAGTTTAAATCTTCCGGACAAAATTATAAAAGTGCCGGTCAAAGGTCTTCTTTGTTATTTATTGAGCTTTAAAACAAATGAATAACGACTCTATATAATGATATATGATAATAAATACACGGAGCCTCTCTTTTCCCTCTCTTCTGACCAGCGTCAGTGTCTGTCTCATGCAGCAGCTGATCCAGTAATGAGTGACCCGACAGTAAAAATAAACATATTTATAACTAGTTTAGGTAGTTTGAGAGGTAATTAAAATAGCTAAGGGTGATGATCTGACTTGAAGTGTGTGTTTTGCTCCCGCTGCATCACAGCGGGAGGAGCTGCGTGTCTCCGTCCTGTCAGATTAGATCCGCCATTGTTGTTGTTAACGAAACACATCAGCAATGATGCGGGGTACGCGGAGAGGTGGGAAGAGGGTGGGGAGAGGCGGGGCTATGAAACGGAATGACCGTATAGGCGACCCCACGGCCCCGTTGGACCCCCCAGAGCGCTCCGTTCCCAGATCTATCCACCTTTGGACCCGTTGTCGTTTGCGGGGTCTGTTTCTACGTTTCCGTTACAGCGTCGTCGAGCTTAAAGGGCTATACGCATGAGAAATATGCGGATTCAACCAGTTTTCGTTCCCGTGGAGCCTAGGCCTCAGTCACTGGTACATTTTTATTTACAAAGCCATGTTAGGGAAACTTCCATCCTACATCTGCTCCCTGATCTCACGGCGAATTGTAAGTGGCTACTGCCTGAGATCGCATGCTGTGGTTTTGATGTGCCAACTGCTAGGACTGTCTTAGGGAAGATAGCATTTAGATGCGCAGCTCCACTGTCTTGGAACAGTCTGCAATTGAAATGGAAACTGAGCAATCTGGTGCCACTAAATGTTTTTAAAGCTCGGTTGGATGCTTCTCAATCGGAAGCTGTTGGTACCTGTTCATGTGGATAGTTATGTAAACTGTAATCCCTGTAATGATGCTGTATGATGTCCTTTTTGTTGTTCTGTTTATGTTTTAATGTTTCATGTGGAACCTACTTGAGCAGGTCTCCCTTGAAAAAGAGAGCAATGATCTCAAAGGGATACACCTGGATAAATAAAGGTTTGAAATGAAATGAAATTTGACTCGTTTTTCGCTGACAGCAACTTTATTAAAATAAGAAAAACACAAAGAAATGATTCCCTTCATGTTCAGTACAAAATCACTGAATCGTCATTTATATTCTGACAGCATCTGGAGAAAATAACAAAACCTTCATCAGTATCTTCCTCTTCTTCTTCTTCATCACCCAGCTCCTCTTCTTCATCACCCAGCTCCTCTTCTTCATCACACAGCTCCTCTTCTTCTCTCCAGAACAAACTCTTATATAGATTTAAACAGAAGAGCGTTTTCATCTTAAATACAGTACGTAGCACAGCTCCTTCACACGAGCAAATAAATAAAGTGGAATGATAGATTTTATTTGTCTCTTCTCATCACTTAAAGGTCAGATAATATAATATATAATAATATCTAACGTGTCCAACAATATGATGATGCTACCCTCCTTGTTACACCTTCATATAACGTTTGCAGAACATGTCTGCAGGTGGTTTTGATGCTATTGAAACCTCTGGAGGGTTTTCAGCAACCTTTCCAAACAAACCCATCCTCTGTGGTTCCATCACGCCACAATAACTCTGGATAAAATAGGCTCTTATTTTATTCATGATTTAAAGGAAGTCTTGCAGGAAAGAGTTTTTATAACCAAACGTGTAAAGGATGAACTTTGGTTTAACCGTCCTCTCTGTGTCTTCTGCACGACATCTGCTTCCTGTTCAGAGTCCAGCCGCTTGGGAGCGCACACACACGTTGATTATCAGTGTGTGTCCTCAGTGTGTGTGTGTGTGTGTGTGTGTGTGTGTGTGTGTGTGTGCTCCCTGGGTCACGCCGAGCCGAGGCTGTCGAAGCCGCAGAACTTCCATCTTTTCTCCAGATTGGCCCCCACGCCGCTCAGCTCCTGCAGGAACATGGAGGGCAGACGCAGCATGAGGCGCTCCAGCTCCCCAGCAGACACCTGGGGGGGGGGGGGGGGGGGTCATTTAACTATTTAAACATCAGAGACTCAGAGGAGTACTAATACTTTGTTACTGTACATGTTTCTGGTATCAGTACTTTACTCCAAGACTTATTTTTACTTTGACTTCTTACATGTTGAACACAAATAGCTGTACTTTCTACTTCTTACATGTTGAACACAAATACCTGTACTTTCTACTTCTTACATGTTGAACCCAAATACCTGTACTTTCTACTTCTTACATGTTGAACACAAATACCTGTACTTTCTACTTCTTACATGTTGAACACAAATACCTGTACTTTCTACTTCTTACATGTTGAACACAAATACCTGTACTTTCTACTTCTTACATGTTGAACACAAATACCTGTACTTTCTACTTTTTACATGTTGAACACAAATACCTGTACTTTCTACTTCTTACATGTTGAACACTAATACCTGTACTTTCTACTTTTTACATGTTGAACACAAATACCTGTACTTTCTACTTCTTACATGTTGAACACAAATACCTGTACTTTCTACTTCTTACATGTTGAACACAAATACCTGTACTTTCTACTTCTTACATGTTGAACTCAAATACCTGTACTTTCTACTTCTTACATGTTGAACACAAATACCTGTACTTTCTACTTCTTACATGTTGAACCCAAATACCTGTACTTTTCTACTTCTTACATGTTGAACACAAATACCTGTACTTTCTACTTCTCACATTTCCCAAACAGGCTGGTTCCTTTAGTTTGAATGTGTGTTTGGTGGCGTGATCATTATTCTTTAGAGTCATTGCGTGCCTATTGATTTGAACACGATCCGTGTATCCATCATTTCCTGGTCTTCTCTAAAGAAGAGGGACCAATGAAAACGTTGTCATGTTGCCGTTGTTCAGCATGGAAACATTCATTAGCTAACAATGACATTATTGTTCTATTAATATAAAGGGAGGTCAGGTACTCTTTAAAACAGCTGCTAGTTATGGGTACTTTTTACTGAAGTACATTTCAAAGCCCTCTTTACTTTGACTTGAGTAAGAAGTTTAGTCAGTACTTCTACTTTCACCAGAGTATTTTTAAACACGAGTATCTGTACTTCTACTTGAGTAAAGGATGTGTGTACTTCTACTTGAGTACAGGATGTGTGTACTTCTACTTGAGTACAGGATGTGTGTACTTCTACTTGAGTACAGGATGTGTGTACTTCTACTTGAGTAAAGGATGTGTGTACTTCTACTTGAGTACAGCATGTGTGTACTTTTGCCCTCTCTGGAGACGACCTACTTGTTCTCCGTGTTTTTGCAGACCACGTATAAGACGTATCAGTCTCTGTTTTTTAAATTGGGGTTTTCTATGTTGTTGTGTTTTTAAATGTTTTTACATCATGTATGAGGGTTTTTCAGTCTGGGGCTATAACTTTGGTTTTATTGTCTCGTGCTTTTACATTAGTTTCTTTTTGTCCTATTAGTCTTATTATTTGTCTAAATGTTTTTATGCTGCTTTTTTTCAACTCTGTTGTTTTAAAATGTGCCTTATCAAAATTGTCAAAATTATTCATTGCTAAATAATTAATTGTAAAATGCATACATGTTGCACACACTACAGGTGAATAGGGTACAACACGTCATCTTTGAATATAATAACGAGGCTAACGCTAACTGTTGGTGAGTTTAGGAGAAATCTGCACAGACTTTCTTTCGACTAAGGCTTGTTATGGGAGATAAATATCCCAAGATCGGAAAATATTAAATATATGTGTGTGTAGGGTTAGGGTTAGGGTTAGGGTTAGGGTTACCTTGGAGTCCAGCCTCTGGATGTACGACCACAGATACTCCAGGTTTGCTCCGAACGGATGAACGTGGAGGAAGGTGGAGATGACTCCTGCAGAGAGGAGGAGGAACAAAGAGTTCAGACTCAGAGAGAAGCAACACCTCTCACTGTCACACACAAGCACATGAGTGTTAGCGTGCACAAGGGTTAGCATGCCAGAGACAATCTGAGCATGCTTTTATACATGTGTTTTCATCAGAGGTCACGAATGCACTAAAGATAGCATCAGAGAGGCTGGGCTGCATGAAGAGCGTGTGTGTGTGTGTGTGTGTGTGTGTCTGTGTGTGTGTGTGTGTGTGTGTGTGCGTGTGTGTGTGTGTGTGTGTGTGTAGAGTGGCGTCCCCCCGGAGGACCCTGCACGGCTGATATTTATTTCCCTGATTTATGTGGCGAAACGCTGCCCATTACAGACAGGCTGATGCAATTCCTTCCAGCAGACCTGCTCACTGGAACAGAGTGAGTGTGTGTGTGTGTGTGTTTTTATTCTTGCAACCATGAACACTAACTGAGGTGAACGGAAAAAGAAACATGCACGGTATGGAATAGGAGCCGCACTCTGTTTGCTCTGCAGTGGAATTTCACTTCACTTCACAAACAGTAAAGCAACGTATACATAACGATAAAACTACATTTGATTCCTTATAGAACATTAAATAAACATTAAAGGTAGGGTAGGTAAGTTTGAGAAACCGGCTCGAGATACACTTGTTGTTATATTCCATGGAATGCTCTTAACATCCCGATAGCAATGAATATCTGAAGTGCTTTGACAAAAATCCATAAATAAATATCATCTGTGGAAGCCGTAATACTGTAAAAAGCACGACCAATCATCTGAGCCGGCCCGGCTAAAGTAACTGGATGGCCTACCTGCCTGTCAGCCTTCCATCTGTGCACAAACTTATCTCGTGCCCTCATTGGTCAAAGCTGACCAGTCCCTGAAGACCTGAGAGTTCTGGATGGTTCATAATTTAGCAGTAGGTCAGACATGTATTTGGGCCTAAACCATTTATTCTCAAAGTAATGATAAACCTGTGAGTTGGATGTAGAAAAGTCAGAATCAATATAGAGGTTTTTTTATTTTAAAGAAAATTCAGATTTTACATAGTAAAAACTGTAAATTATAGTGTCCGTCCAAAAATTCGTTTTACTTATAGTGAAAACTACCCTTGGATGATGGGTTAGTAGACTAAAAGCTTTAGGAATCCAAAGTACAACATATAATAAGTACCCTGTATCAAGATTGATGCAAAACAAGTGACATTTGACCTTTTTAGAGAGGTTTAGCAAAAAGAAACCACTTCTGGGGTCATTTGGGTGGATTTTACCTATCTCTGGCCCCCCTTGCTCGATTTTGATGGTTGACACCTCTTTCTGACCGTTAGAGCCAATAGAATCGAAGGGGAATTCCCCCACACACACTCATTGTGAAGAGAAAAGGTGGGGGCTTCGCGCATGTCATTTTCCATCAGAGTGAACCTATCTCTAGTTTTGACATCTGGAAACGGAAAAGCAGTTTTATTGCTTATGGATTATCAGAAATCATTTCAAAGGGACACAGACACATTAGATTAACCTATGGATTAACTTCAGCAGCGTTTTTATTGTTTTAATGCCATTGAAGACCACTTTGGAGAGACTACAGAGCCAAGGTAAAAATGTTAGCATTTTTAGCTACCTAGCGCCACCTGTTTTGATGTCCGTTTTTGCTTATAACGTCGCAAATACGTATAATTCAGTGATCATGAGGGTACCCATCGATTCTGTGTCACCTCACGATGTGTTGGATGTGGTGAAAAAATAAATAATAAGGTTTTGTGTGTGATTTTTGGTGTAGTAATGTTGTTACAGATGGAGCATCTTATTTCAGACAGTTTGAAATGCGAGGGTCGTGATTGGTCCGTGATTGGTCCGTGATCGGCCCATGATCGGTTCGTGATGAGAGCCGGCCCCCAGTCCTGACTTGATACCCGCCCCTGTGATAAATACATTTAATTATTGTGAAGCCAGCTGCAATGGATCATTGATCCACCAGGGGTGCAGTTTCCACACTGGAGCTCATGTGAATCAACTTTGATACAGATACCAGTATGTCTGGTACTACTGTATAGCGGATCTTTGTTAAGATCCATATGTCACGGATAGGATCATAGTCTGTGCTAAATAAGACATGTAATCATTTACAAACATCACCATGTTGTTATTTAACAAAATAATGTTGTTTAGTCGAAAAAAACGAAGGAGAGGAAATGCAGCCGGCTCTCGATTTTTAATCCTAATTTAATCATCATCTTCACCACGATCATTTATGTTTATGTTCGCCGAATTGACATGAAATCACTGACAAATATGAATATACTGTATTCAACTTCATTAAAATGTTATTAACGTGCCTAAACTCAGTAATTCACTAAAAATATTTATATTTTAATGGAGCCTTGTCAGGCAGATCAAGATCCGGACCAAGTCGCTGCAAATTATCCCGCTTATTACATGGCCACATTCTCAACAAAGTAACGACATGACTCCCAATATTAATTGAAATGCTTTTATGGATTTAGAAATGTTTTTATTGATTTAAAAAGAGTTGTATGTATTGATTTAAATTGACATGCATCCGCTAAGAAAAATAGTCCGTTGTTACCGTTTTTTAAGGCAAGGCAAGGCAAGGCAAGGCAAGGCAAGTTTATTTATATAGCACCTTTCAACACAAGGCAGTTCAAAGTGCTTTACAAAAATGGAAGACATTATGAAAATGGCATTTAAAATCATTAAAAAGAAAAGATAATAAAATAAACATTAAAAGAAAAAAGACATGGATAAAGGTTAAAAGTTACAGTGCAGTTTAAGATGTGAATAGTTCAATTAAAAGCAGCGGCAAAAAGAAAAGTCTTCAGCCTGGATTTAAAAGTAGTAAGAGTTGCAGCGGACCTGCAGGTTTCTGGGAGTTTGTTCCAGATATTTGGAGCATAATAACTGAACGCTGCTTCTCCATGTTTAGTTCTGACTCTGGGGACAGAAGCTGACCAGTCCCTGAAGACCTGAGAGTTCTGGATGGGTTCATAATTTAGCAGTAGGTCAGACATGTATTTTGGGCCTAAACCATTCAAAGCTTTATAAACCAGCAGCAGTATTTTTGAAATCTATTCTTTGACACACAGGAAGCCAGTGTAAGGACTTCAGAACAGGAGTGATGTGATCACACTTCTTAGTGTTAGTGAGGACTCGAGCAGCGGCGTTCTGAATTAGCCTGAAGCTTTCTAATAGATTTTTAGTGAGACCCTGTAAAGACACCATTGCAGTAGTCGAGTCTACTGAAGATAAAAGCATGGACAAGTTTTCCAGATCCTGCTGTGACATTAGTCTTTTAATCCTAGATATGTTCTTTAGGTGATAGTAGGCTGATTTAGTAACTGTTTAATGTGACTGTTGAAACTCAGGTCAGAGTCCATGACTACACCTATATTTCTGGCTTTATCTGTTGTTTTGAACATTGCAGACTGAAGCTCAGCGCTAACTTTTATACGTTCTGCCTTGGCTCCAAAAACCATTACCTCAGTTTTATCTTTGTTTAATTGGAGAAAGTTCTGACACATCCAGTCATTGATTTGTTCAATGCACTTACTCAGTGTTTGAATTGGAGCATAATCTCCTGGTGAAATTGTTACGTAAATTTGTGTGTCATCCGCATAGCTATGGTAACTTATTTTGTTGTTTTTCATTATCTGAGCCAGTGGTAGCATGTAGATGTTAAAGAGAAGAGGCCCCAAGATGGAGCCTTGAGGTACCCCACATGTCATATTTGTCACTCAGATGTGTATTTACCTATAGAAACAAAGTTTTTTCTGTCCTTTAAGTAGGACTCAAACCAATTTAGAACTGTTGCCGAAAGTCCCACCCAGTTTTCTAGTCGGTCTAGTAATATGTTGTGGTCAACAGTGTCAAACGCAGCACTGAGATCTAATAATACTAACACTGAAGTTCTGCCACTGTCTGTGTTTAAGTGGATGTCATTGAAGACCTTCACAAGAGCAGTCTCAGTGCTGTGGTTTGGACGAAATCCTGACTGGAACACATCCAAACAGTTATTTAAATGCAAGAAGTTACTCAACTGTTGAAATACAACTTTTTCAATGATTTTACCCTAGAAATGGCAGGTTTGATATTGGCCTGTAATTGTTCATTACTGAAGCATCTAGATTATTCTTTTTTAAGAGCGGTTTAAATGACTGCAGTTTTCAGGGCCTCTGGAAAAATACCTGAGTGAATAGATGTGTTTACTATATGAAGTAGATCTGAGGCCATGCAAGGAAAAACATCTTTGAAAAAATCCTGTTGGAATATATCAAGGCAGCAGGAGGAGGATTTCAGAAGTTGAATAATGTCCTCTAAGTTTTTACCATTAATCTGATGGAATTGTGTCATGGTGTTTGAATTGATATTAGGTGGACATAGGGACAACACATTTGCTGTACCTGATGCAGAGGCACTGACTGCTGTCTAATTTTCTGAATTTTGTCAGTGAAGAAGGAGGCAAAATCATTGCACGCCCTGGTGGATAGAAATTCAGAGGCTACTGACACTGGGGGGTTAGTTAGTCTGTCGACGGTAGCAAACAAGGCACGTGCGTTGTTTTTATTTTTGGTAATGATGTCAGAGAAGAAAGACTGTCGTGCGTTTTTCAATTCCAAATTATAAAGGCCAAGTCTCTCTTTATAGATTTCAAAGTGAACCTGGAGATTTGTTTTTCGCCACCTACGTTCAGCTTTTCGACACTCTCTTTTTTCTGTTCTCACGGTCATGGCCTTTCTCCATGGAGATATTTTCTTGCCAATCACTTCCTTTACCGTAGTTGGAGCAATGGTATCTATAACATTTTTAATTTTTGAATTAAAATGATCTACTAGCTCATTTACTGAGATGTTAGCAGGGGAGAGTGTGGATGAAAATTATGAGTAAACATTTCCCTAGTATTTTCAGTTAAATATCGCTTTGTGGTTACCTCTTTCTGACATTTTTGTGAACAGAAATAGAGCTCTCAAAGAAAAAAC